CAGGTAATAGTTTGATACTGTGCTATTAATAATTACGCCCCCAAGAAACTGCCGCCCTGTGCTAATTCAAATACTGTACCGACCCTGGTAATAGTTTGATACTGTGCTATTAATAATTACGCCCCCAAGAAACTGCCGCTCTGTGCTAATTCAAATACTGTACCGACCCAGGTAATAGTTTGATACTGTGCTATTAATAATTACGCCCCCAAGAAACTGCCGCCCTGTGCTAATTCAAATACTGTACCGACCCAGGTAATAGTTTGATACTGTGCTATTAATAATTACGCCCCCAAGAAACTGCCGCCCTGTGCTAATGCAAATACTGTACCGACCCTGGTAACAGTTTGATACTGTGCTATTAATAATTACGCCCCCAAGAAACTGCCGCCCTGTGCTAATGCAAATACTGTACCGACTCTGGTAATAGTTTGATACTGTGCTATTAACAGTCTGAGTTTATGAAAGTAGAAACAACAGAGGATAGATTTTGAATAAATACGAAAAAAAAATTAACTTTCACTTCTTTCTTTCTTTCTTTCATGTTTCATAAGTCACTCACTCGTCTTTCCATCTGAAACCTAGTGTTCACTGACCTCTGTCGTTAAGTTCAATCCCTAAACTTTAATTTAGCTCTAAGAACCCGTACACGTGCTCAGGCTTATACATAATACATAGTTAATTAGTGGTGAACGGGAGAATTTTGAGGCGTTTATTCGCGCGTGTCCAACCCCTAGTAACGGATTTGGCCATGCGCGCGCAGTGTTAAAAATAATAGAATTTTTAATCATAATATGGTATCAGTTCAAAATATGATATCAGCGTAATTTCCCAATACCAATACAAAACATGGGAGAACCGTACATGTGTCGGCACGTTAATAGACTAATAACCTTATACGGCTCTATAAACAAATAAATGTTGTGTTGCTGAATACTTAATCCAGAAAGTTGAATTAACCCAGGGAAATCAACCAAGGTATGAGACCTCCCCTTAATGTCATATTTGATTAAAATGCTTTCATAGGCACTGGAAAAGAGAGTGAGAGAGAAATAGAACAGCACGCGGAGTACTCGCTACCAGTGTTACAAGATTATTAAAATTTTCTCCTGTGACATTCGTTTGTTAGTTTGTAGTTAAGCGCAAAGCTACACAATGGGCTATCTATGCTGTGTTCATCACGGGTAAAGAAACTCGGTTTTTAGCGTTATAGAGCTTCAGACTTTCCACTCAGCCACAAGGGGGCCTCGATGACGTCAATTGCAAACATCTGATGAGTATTCAATTTGCATACAAGATGCAGAAATTCATTTAAAGTTTTGCATGACCAAGAAAGACTAAGGAGCCTTTTTCGATGAAAAGAAAGATCCAGTGGATCATTGCAAAGTTTACGGACTTACAACGCTAAAATCCGGGGTTCGATTTCACGCGGTGGACAGGGCGCGGATAGCTTATTGTGTTGTTGATTGATTGGATGGTTATTCTTAAGTGTAACGCTACACATGGGGCTGTCTGTGTTCTATCCGCCACGAGTATCGAACTCCTGTTTTTAGCGTCGTAAGCCTGTTGACTTACCACCGAGCCACTGGGGTAGGGGGGTGAGAGAAGTGCTTGGGAAAAATTATCTTGTAATTGTTATTGAATTATTATTTTGTGCTTCAAGAATACCTCTGTACAGTGAATCCACGTCTTGATCTATTTTGCAGTCATTACCCCTGTCCCTTCTTTGTTGGTCTATGTTGTCAGGGGAACCAGGAGACGTTGACGACGGTGTCGAAGACGCCGAAATACTTTGTTTCAGACCTCCACCTGCATTCCGGAAATACTCCCCCCATCGGCTTTTTCCAGCGTCTTTCTTGAGTCGTTTCTCCTTGGCTCTTCGGTTCTGAAACCAGACCTGGACTACCCTCATATCGAGACCCGTGTCCTGGCTCAGCTGCTCTCTTATATGACGGGCTGGTTTAGAACTGTTATTATAGGCCGTTTTTAGGGTTTCTAGCTGTTTTGCCGATATTGTAGTTCTGGGCCTCTTACTCGTCCCATCTGCTTCAGATATTTACAATTAACAACAGTTATTCAGGCTTAGAAGACACGCACACACAATAATAATAACACAACTAGTTTATTAGGCCAAACACAGTTACTTACTGAAGTCGAACAAAACATAAGCACTAACGAAGGGAGGCCTAGTTCCTAGGCCTTTTTTTATATTTATTTATAGGTACTTTTCTAAAATAACAATACAAAATATCGTAATTTTGCTTTCCTTTGATGCATTCTTCTAAAACTAAAATTGAAGCAAATGATATCAACACACCTGAAGGAACTTAAGATAGTGGCAAAATAAAGTAACGGACCAAAAAGTCATGTGGCAACGGTGGCAAAAGAAGGTAACGTACCACAAAAAGTCATGTGGCAACGGTGGCAAAATAAGGTAACGTACCACAAAAAGTCATGTGGCAACGGTGGCAAAATAAAGTAACGGACCAAAAAGTCATGTGGCAACGGTGGCAAAATAAGATAACGTACCACAAAAAGTCATGTGGCAAAAACAAAATGGCGTGCCACCAAAAAGTCCAGTGTCACCAGTGAAAAAAAAGAAGAGTAACTACCATAAAAGTCAAGTGTCACCAGCGGCAAAACAAAATACGTGGCAGAAAAAGTCCAATGCCACCAATGGAAAACAAAATTACGTGCCATAAAAAGTCACTAGTGGCAAAATAAGAGACAACGTACCTTACAAAAGTCCAGTGTCAACAGGAAGAAAGAAACAAATGAAGATACATACATGTACATAGCTTGGAATTGAAATGGAATTTTTAATCGGAACGGCACCTGGTGTGTATGTGTGATAAGCGGCAATAGATCCTTTAATTCAGTTATAGTTTACTCCAATTCACAGGAAGGCTGCCAACTAACAGAGCCCGTAACAACAATGAGTTTGTCTGGCTCTTCGAACCAAATAACGGATTGATTGTCACTTTTATAACGCACCCACAAATAACATTGTGTAGTGTGTTTAGCAGTATTATACCTCAAATCCCGGACCCTTTGGTTTGATATATGTATATAAAATATCCTGTCAATGTGCTAAAAGTTATTATCAATAACTTGAAGCATCAAAATTGATGTTCATAGCTTTCTTTATGATCCCTAAGGAATGCTAACTTTCTTAGTATTAGGTCGTCAAGAAATTAATGTCGCATTTTGGAACACTTTCATTAATCACCTCCAAATAACGTACATCACGTATAATAGTTAAACGAACCGCCTAAACGTCACGTTAGTGTATCCTATATAATGTGTAAAGTTTAGTGTACTCTAATCCCTTATAGTGATGGCATACCACGAGACACACATTCGGCATGTAATGCTGTTTGAACACAAGAAGGGAAACAACGCCTCTGTAGCTACAAAGAATATCAAAGATGTTTATGGAAATGTTTTGAACGTTCGTAAGTGTCAACGATGGTTCAGCAAATTTCGTTCAGGTGACTTTAGTCTTAAAAACTGTGATGGCAGGGGTTGACATGTTGGAATTGATATTGATGCTTGTTGAGTCTAACCCAAGGTAACACACTCGTGAAATGGCCCTGAAATTGCATGTCTCTCATGAAACAATACGTAAACATCTAAGGAATATGGGTAAACTCCATAAAGAAGGTGTTTAGGTGCTTCAGGAACTCTCCGATGATCATCGTTTCCAACGTGTAAACGTTGCTTCATCTCTTCTGGCGCGTAATGCGCGTGAACCATTTTTGGACAGAATTGTCACCGGTGATGAAAAATGGATTTTCTATGCGAATATTAAACGCCAAAAATAATGGCTCTGTCCTAGACAAAATCCACTTCCGACCCCAAAACCTGGACTCCATCCGCAGAAAGTGGGACATCAAAGGAGTAATTCATTTCGAACTCCTCAATCCACAGCGAACTGT